ATAATATTAAATTATATTATAATATAATATAATATATTATATATAATATAATTTATAATATAAATATCTTAATTTAATAATTTATATATAATATTTTATATATTATAATATAATTTAATATATTATAATATTATAAAATTATATATATATAGATAGATAGATAGATATATAATATAATTTATATATAATTTATAAACTATTAATTATATATTATAATATTAATTATATAATATATATAATAAATTATATTTTATTATATATATAATTTTATAATATAAATATCGTAATTTAATAATTTCATTTGTGCACCAATAATGGAAAAATAAATTAACACTTGATTGAATTATTTACTAACAAATTTGAAATTAATTAAACATGAAATATCAATTGGATTGTTTCTTTACAAAAAAAAATTAAATCAATTTCATTGAATATCACTGGTTCAATTTAAAAAATACAAACAAATGACGTACCACCATGTGTTCGATTAAAAATATCTCCGGATAATAAAGAAATGATATATAAAAAGAAGAAAAAACAAGAAAATAAAAGAAAAAGGTAAGAAAAGAGAAAAAAAAAACCAATAAAGTTAAATTGTAATCCAACAAGAGAGATATCCAAGTGTCTACTAACAAAGTAGACAAGACACAGGAGTCACTGTGAAAAGACGACAAGATAGATAGAGCACGCAAAGCCACGAAACTCGAGAGCTTACTGGAAGAAAGGAGGTTAGAGGGGAGTAGAGAAGGGATCAAGGAAAATGGATCGAGGGTATCCGCAAACTGGAGACCACAAGGTACAACGAACGTCTATATCGATCTCCCCCTGTATCATAGAATTACCTGAGAAACATTCAAGTACGACTACTAATACTATATCGACAAATATTAAATCAAACTAATAATAAAACCATTCTCCCCCCCCCCCCTATTATCAACCACCAATTTCAATCAATCAGATGAACGTATGAATAAATCATTAAAAATAGGGGTCGAAAACGCAAATTAATTAACAAGTATGTACAGCTAAAAACAAAAGTAGAAGAGAGAGAGAGAGAGAGAGAGAGAGAGAGATAAAAAATAAAACATAAAATCAAAATGTTAATTCAATAAGAAAGGAGAACCAGTTATTATATAAGTCTTCCTCTTATTCTCCCTGAAGACTATTCTCACATCGAGGTTACAAATGGTTACGAAATTAGATAGAAAGAAAGAAGAAGAAAAATATTCCAAACCATTGTGCGTGTGATAAGCAATATTTTTGTTTGATTCATCACCTAGTAAGAACAATTTTTATTACCCCCTCAAAAAAACAAACCCTGACTTTTGATGAGGGAATGCAGAAAAAAAAGAAAAGGAAAAAGGGTTAACCAAGCGCATTTTGTATCAATATTTCTCTCACCGCACTTTCCTGGCTGGCCGATTTGGTTTTTTCAACATTATCATTGGCAGCTGCCAACATTGGTGCCATGGCTGATTGTAAATTGTTGTAATCGTTGTCCTCCCTGTCGTAACTTTCCGGATAATCCTCTTCGATTCCAGCTAAATAACCAATTCCGGTATCCTCGTCGAATGTACCCTCGAATGTTGAAAATGTATCAAATTTTCTGACACTTATGTGTCTAGCTTTTTTCTTCGTGTTAGTAGAATTATTATCATCCCCGGAATCGTGAATGCTACTACTTGTTTTATCAGATTTATTGAGATCGTCGTCTAAATTTACGGCTATTACAGTGTCACTTGAATCAATGTCACTCGTAGTACTACTCTCGAATAATCTTCGTTGAAATATAGCACGTTTCTCTTCCAACAACGATAATTTTCTACGTAATTCTACGGGAGATGTCTTCTTGGTATTATAAGTACCGCAATCGGAATCAGCTTTAACCGATAATTTCATTTTTCTCGTTAATTCCGGCGTTAAATGATCCTTTCGTTGATCCGGCCATTTTGATATTGCGTATGGTAATGTCGATGTACAATAAATTTCCGTTTTTCTTTCTTGCTCCAAACTCGATTGATCCGACGATTCTGTATTCGGATAATAGAAGAGAGAAAGAGAGAGAGAAAAAAAAGAAAACAAACTAATACAAAACTATTCCTATACTGACGTCGTGTATTTGTGTGTGTATGTATTTGTTATCGATTAAATGTTGAGATTAATTCATATGATTTTTTCTTGTTTTTTGGATAGTAAGTAAATAAATAAACAAAAAAATAAAAAGAAGAAGAAGAAGAAAAGAAAATGGATGGGGTGGATGGGATGGGATGAAATGGGGGTGGAATATTAAAGAAATTGGGTGAAGGAAGGAAGGAAGGTGAATGGGTGAGGGAGTGTTAAAAGATAAAATGAATCCTAAATAGATAAATTTCTCTCAAGGTGTCACATAAAAATGCTCACCGTGTTGCTGAGAACTCTTAGGAACACATCTGATGGTTAACGACGGAGACTTGCGTTGCACTACGGTGACGGTGCTCACCGGTTTTGCGATCAGCATCTCCGGTTTCTTCGTTTCTCCCTTCTTTTCTCTTTCCCTCTCCCCTGTTGGCGGCGGCCGTTCGGAATCGGCTTTAGAACGATGCCTTGAACGTATCCCCTTGAAGACACTTTTTTCACCGTCCGATCCGTTCCTAGTAAGTTTCTTAGGGCTGTCCGAGTGACTCGGAGAATCTTGGGAGGATTGGCTTTGAGATTGGCTACTGTCACCACCGTCCGGTGTCCTTCTTACTTCTATTTGTTGTTGTTGTTGGGATTGTTGTTGTGATTGTTGATCAGTCGACAATCGAAATTTGTTAAAACTTAATTTTCGTACTAATGAATGTGACTTTTTCTTCTTCGACGTAGCACCTGGACTATCGCTCGTCTGTGTACCACYACCACCGAGCATAATCGATGACGTTTTATGATCATCGTTATCGTCCTGTTGTTGTCGATTAAGTTGAATCTTCTTGCGAGTAGAGTCTGAGGGAGGAGGAGATTAAAGAAAAAGATTTATGGATCAAAAACCTTTTTCCAAATCATATTCTTTTTTTGTTCTCATCTTCCCGTATAAAAATCCTCAATTTTGAATCAATCAAACCTCCTGCATTTTCGTGAGAATTTAACCATTAATAACACCTGAGAAAATGTTTCAAGACAAAAAAAAAACCCCCAAATGATTTCCCAATCACAATTATTCCTTCTTGAATCAATCGATTAATATACTCATGAAAAACAGTTGGTTATTGATCAGAAACGAGGATTACAAAATATAAAAGATAAAGGGGTTGTATTTCTCTTAACCTTTTTCTTCTTCAGGATCAGGATCAAGCTCGAGTGAACCATCAGCAGTACCACCCTCCATACCACGATTCTTCTTTTTCATCTTGAACAATCCACTGGCATCTTTTTTAAAACTACTTTTCAATATACCAAATCTTCCTTTTTTTTTCTTGTTCTCGTTGGTTAACGTACTACTACTACTAGTGGTCCCGGTAGTACTAACTGCAATAGTTTCAGCTGTACCCGATTGACCGGCTAAAGTATCCAAACTGGAGCTACTCTCGGCAACGGTGACGTATTCACCGGAAGTACTTTCAGGATTTCTTCTTCTATCTTCGTCTGACGAGGAACGTGCCAGTACGGTGTCTGGTGAACTGCCAGCCTCGTTTCCACTTCCATTACCGTGATCCATGATTGACACGTGATCACGAAAGATTTAAACACTTTACGGTTAAACCTTTGAACAGGAGGAAGAGGGAAAGAAAAAGAAAAAAAGGGGGAAAAACAAGAAAATGAATAGAAAAGAAAGTAATCTTTCTCTCTTCTTCTTCTTTTTTTTTTCTTTTTTTCTTCCTCTTTCTTTATTTTATTTATTATCTTATTTTTTGTCTTTCTCTTTCAGTCTCGCTCTCGTTACAACTCGGACAGACTCCACGACTTGGCTTCACCGTGCTATCCGAGGAAACCTTAGAACAGCTCGCTTTCTCGGTTTCGATCGGCCACCAACGGATAATCCGACACGTTGCCTCTTTTCTTTATTGTTATTATTATTATTTATTATTATTATTATTATTATTAATTCTCCTTATGTTGTTATACCCTTTTTCCCTATTCTCCTTTTTCTCGATTACTTTCTTATTCTCAATAACACACGTGTTGCTGGTGTGTTCAACAAACGTTCAACGAAATATCGAATTGGTTATGATGATCGATCGAAATCGTTGATCAATCGTTTTTCTACGGATCACTGAGAATGATCAAAGTATAATTATATAAAAAAAAAAAAAAAAAAAGAAACTAGAAATATAAAAGAAAATGATCGATAGAAAAACGTTCGCAAAAGTGTTTTATTGAAGCTAACGCGAGAACACACGTTGCAAAGCCTACGATGTCTTGGTGTAAACTAAATGTTGATATAAAAATCACGAAGGTAGGTTAAGTGGGGGAGGAGGAGGAGGAAGGGTGCGGAAGAGGGAGAGAAGGAAGAAAAGATTTTTCCCCTCTCTCTTTCTCTCTCACACTTTTCCTCATCAAGTATTACATATCCTTTACTATGGATACACGAGACAACCTCAAGCAGCGAGGAACCAGAACCAGTGTCACACCGCTGTCACCGACATACATAAACCAACGTGATTTCTGTTATGTTGATACCTTTGTAAACACAAGAGAGATTCGATATGTATATATGATTTTTAATTTACTCATTATACTTCAATCTTTAATGCATATATTTAATCAATAACATGATCCCCAATAACAGGATACCAAATATGATCATCATGAACTGACATACTGAACTTAAAGTTAACGTTTTTATTATTCACAATACATCATATTTCCTATATATGTAAAAAAAA